GTTCTTCATTCAGTCAAACTCAACATTATGGCTTCACTGAACTTTGTCATTGAAATGCATGTGTAGTTTGAAATGTGTTAAAATTGTACAGTTGATACCGAATATATCCAGCCTTTTTCTTCTTCGTTCAGCTGCTTTTCTTTCTGGATTTCTTTTCTTATATTTTGTCAATCCAAGAACAAGTGTTGTATCCCCAAGATAGGTTGCTATCCCCAACTATAGAGCCTCATCTACACGGGAGATTGAACTCAGGACTTCTCGGTTTAGCAACCACGAACTTTACAAGTTCTTGATTTTGGTATTGGCGTGTCAGTTTTCTTCTTTATTTAGTCGACATCTAAAGTTAAACAAAAACAGTTGCCTACCTCAGCAAAAATCAATGTAGGCCAATTATGGCCAGTGTAGCAATTAGCAACATCAAAGTTGATTTGAATTCCATGCAACACTCATTCCATACTTCTCTAGTGTGGAGGTCTTTATTATTAATATTATCCTGTTTGTTTGATACTTTTCTTTAACTTAATAATATTAACCATAGACACTTTTTGCCTGGAGTACAAACTGGGTCACAGTATTCTCTGGTAAACAATTAAGTTCTTTTCCAAATATATGCTCAGCTAATAGAAACAGCATTCCTAGATTATTATTTTTTTTTTTTTTTTAAAGGGCTTCAGCTGTTTTAATGTCAACTTGTGCAGGGAATACTATAACTACATACAACCCTTTTCAGCTTTCAATCACTTGCATCTTATGTACAAAGTAAGAAAACCAAATACATCAAATTTTGAGAAATAATTTATTTATGAAACAATTGCATATAATTATAAAGCCAAACATTAATATATCAAGATTATTGCAATTATCACCATTTGCAGATTCTTGTTTAACTATGTTAGATGGAAGTATTAGTTGCCTTTTACATCACTTTTCACTTCCTGAAACAAAACAAAATGATTTTCTTAATCATCCATCTGAAATAATAAAATTAGCAAAAAAAAAAAAATCTTTGGTTTAAATTAGTTTAATACATCAAAACAAAACAAGAAAAAAGTGATTGAATGAGATGAATCATGGCATAGATATCTATAAAATTTTGCTTTAGTGATAAAGGGGGAAAAATTTAAGTTATTTTAAGTGAAACATAAGCTAGAGAAATAAACTATTAGGCCTAATTTAAATAATTTAATTCCTTTCTCCCAAAACACTACATGTATCCTTAAAAAAAGAAAACTTAAAATTTATCAATATTTACCTTGTGTATAAACTCTTCTGTACATCTACTGTATCAGCTTGACGCTCATTAGGTATGCCTAGTTCCTGTTGAGCAGTTAAGACAGATTAAGTAAATAATTCAAATTTGTAAGACAAACCACTAAATGATACTGTTTTATATATATATATATATATATATATATATATATATATATATATATATATATATATATATATATATATATATATATATATATATATATATATATATCCTTCCTGCAAATCAGCATATTTTGCAAAACAAATATTTAAAAAAATACATAATGATATTGTATCAATCATCACCACTGACTTGGTTTTACTAGGTAAAATATTTTTTTAAATACAATATTTATACAAATAAAAATCTATCTCAATCAACATGTTCAAAATAAACCAAAGCAAACTTGTGATAACTTACCTGATTAATGTTTGAGAGGATTCACCCAGTTCTCGCCACTGAAGCAGATTAGATGCATGTGTTATTACACTTGTGATATACTGATTGCCATTTTGTGTACTTTTAGTCCTGGAGATCTATGTTGTAGGCATAGACTGTTAAACCTGGATAGTAATATTATAGAAGTAAATTATATGTAGTATAATATAAATATTTTAAAATATAAATGACACTAAATTATATTTATCATTATTGGAAATAAAAATGGTACAATTAAGTTATAAAAAAACAAATTATAAAATTTAAAGCAGCTTATTAATAATTGTCATACCTTTTCCTACTTTTATGTCAAATGTAAGAGGTAATAGAGAAAGAACATCTTGTGTCATTTAGTATGCTGTAGTCTTATTACTGGTAAAAATCAGATCTTCCCTTTTTTTTGGATGAACCTGTAAAAGAGAAATTACAACATGGATAAACACAATGAATATCATATCTAATCCTCAACTAGTTATCACCCCAATCCTAACCTCATTTTTTAAAACCAATTTCTAAATATGTTTTCAGAACAAATGTATGTTAAGTCTACCTATTTTAATGTTCAGAATACTAATATTTATCAAAACTACCTCCAGTTGAAATTCAAGATACCTTTATAAAAAGTTATTATGACTTTAACTTTGTGTAGTTGTTATTTAGGCTATTTGTTTAATTTATATTATTTAAATTAATATTTCATGCCTTGTTTTAAAAAGATCTACAAGTCTACTTTTGATTTTATGGTATAATCTGATAAAAATTAGGCTGCTACATCTGAAAACTAAGGTCAATGCAAAGACTTCCAAATTAACGATAAGTAGGCTTGTATAGATATTGTATATAATTACTAGCCCAATAGTATTACTCTACGACCAATGTATAGGACTTAATGTATCAGACCTAATTCCTATAATTAGGCCTACTAATTATTAAATAATTAATAGATCTAACAGTAGGATAATTACAATTATGGGCCTTAGCTGACATAGAGAGCTGAATACTTAACTAAACATTTTAAAAAATTATAGTAAGCTAAGTGAGTTGAATTATTTTATTTAGATAGGCCTAGGCTATAATATACTCTATAGCAGTCTATAGTGATAGTCGCAGAGTAGCGTATATCATAATAATTTCAAATTAAATCTATAAGCAACATTAATCCTCTGCCTTGTTGCCTAATTAAAAACTAAAGCCTATTAAGCCTTTTCCTAATAAGCCTTTGGCCTAATTTAAATAACAGCCTATAGGCCCTATAATATATAAATAGGCTAAACTACTAGTAAGACCTAATAGACTAATGACTAAGAGAGTGCTAGGCCCCTTTCCGGTATTATATAATAATTGCTTGATCGATATCATAATATCTAACACTGATTACATTAATTTACATAAGGCTATACCATCTTAACTATGACTAATACTTTTTCTACTAATAAAATAGGCTATCTCTAGTTTAAACTTAGGTCTAATAGTAATTAGTAATTATAATTAAGTAGGCCATTTTATGACATTTATAAAATTTTTAGTAGATGGCCGAGCCTTAAATTCAAATACTAAAATAGATTTAGCATACTATGCCTATTGTTGGTCTAATTAATTATTTATTTTTCATTTAGAATTTTAGATCTCCAAAAGATAGGCCTAGGTCCTAAATAAATTATTTTTATTTTATTGAGCCCGCCTTGCCTTAATGTATAAGATGTGATGTTTTTTTAATAAAAATAACCCTACACAATACTAGTGATTTAACTAATATCTAGTACTACTTTAGGCCTATTTAATTATTTATTAGTAGGCTGAATAAAATCTAAAGCTATAAGGCCTACTTTATTACTATATTTGCCTATTATTCTATAATTAATTTATGTTTTCTTTCAATACATAGTAGATCCTGTGGTACCTCAACATTCTAGTGCCTCGACATACCAGATTTTTTAAATACGAGCAGTTGAGCGAGTAATATTTCGCTTTGAGTTATGCGCAAAATTTGAGATACCGTATTTCACAGTTCATGTAAAAGAAATACCCCCAAAAAGATGCAAATAATTATTTATCGCAGCTATTTAATTATGATAATAAGCGTCTTACTCATATTTGCAGCATTATGAAAGGGAGAAAGAAATAAACTTCCTAAACAAGTTTTATTTTAAGCTACCAGCACATGAAAGTGACTTAAATTAAGCATGGCAAAAAAGAAGAGAAAAGCTGTCACGAAAATTAAGCTAACGTAATAATTTTATTTAGTATTTAGGCCTTACGTTTAAGTCTTAAGTGCAACAATGCTCAGTGAATTTTAGCCATATGGCATTAAGTTTAGGAATGATGTGTACTTGACCAGTACTTGTGTAGCTTTAACTTTAGTATATTTTTAGACCTAAGCCTAATCTTGTAGATATAGATCTACAAACAATTTGAAATAGAAGAGATTTAAAATTGAGTAGATCTAGATCCTAAATGCTAAAGGACAGCTATGCCACAGAAATAATTATCTTTCTATCTAGTCAATCTAGACTAGATCTAGTGCTACTGAAAAATTACTAGATTTTCTAGATCTAGATTTAGATTCTATCATTTACTTTCGACGCACTAGGCATACTTTTAACTTTTTCTCTCTAGTCAATAATGTAGATTTCTAGATCTAAATGTAAATCCTGATCTTGTAGATTTGATTTACGTAGGTTTTACATCAGTGTAAATCGTTGATCAAGTAGATCTAGTCTAGATCTGGGCTAGCTCTCGTCAAAACAAAATGGCTGGAATATTAGCTTCAAAACACCTACAGTTTATGCTTTCCTAATTGTGGAGAGCATGTTTAATTATTGTTTTATTTTCAACGACAGTGTTGACTGAGAAACCACCAAAGGGTTTTATTCTCAGCGACACATTCGGAGAGAGGCTCAACGATTCTGTCGTTGAGATGATCCGCATGGGGTGAGCTGGACACTCTTTCTTTACTTTAACTACTTTAACTTAACTTTTGATGCAGATGCCGATGGCCTATTCTCTCCCTATTGCCCTATATCTATAATAATTATAATTATTGTTAGACCGAACTAATATTGACATAAAAACTACTAGATCTAGATTTCTAGATCTAGTCTTAAGTCTAGCTCTAGAAAGGCTTACTAGATTATCTAATCTAGATCTCAGATCTAGATATCTAGTCTAGATCTAGATCTCTAAATCTTGTTTTATAAAACTAAAACTTTTAGTTTTAATAAATCTACAAATCACGTGATATTAGGTCACGTGATTTAGGCTAAAATTAAACCCCTGTCCCTAGCTTAGCTAGGTAAATAATAGTAAATATAAACACAGCCGATCTAGGTCTAGAATCTAGCATCTTGATCTATTCCACTTCTACAGGAACTTGATTTAAACGTCGAGTTGATCTAGATGTAGATTCTAGGATGATTGTAGATACTACTATTTTAAAATATTACTAGGTAACTATAGATCTAGAATCTAGTATTTATAGATTCTATATAGATTATAGTATAGTATAGTATAGATCTATAAGTGACGTACCCAAAACGATAGATTACTTGGCAATACTCCAGCAATAGGCCTACCATTTAGTTATAGTTATTAGTTAATAGTATATATCGCTTTAGGACACTTTTACGACTAGTAATGTGAAAAACAGGTGACTCCTTAAATTTTAATAATTATTTCACATTTTGAGAAGGATTTATGTTTTGAAAAATACAAAAATGTTTCCTTGTTTCATTTATGTACCTGTTTTTAAACAATTGAATTAAAATTTGTCAGTAATAATTAAAGTAAGACTAGCGTAGCGATGTTTCCAACAGATGCAATCATGCTCATTTACTATAGCCTATAGCAGCTATCTTGTTTATTTTTTTTATTATAAACTTATAGCGCAAGATCCAGGGGAAGCCACTCTAACTTACAGATGGCCGCTTTTTATAAAGCAAATCCTGATAGCAAACACTGCTGTTTAATGTTAATTTCTTGCCTATATTGACATATTTAGCCATTGATTTAGGTTTATTATTCATTTATCTATAATATTTGACACAAATACATCACAATATACTTCTATTAAAGCCTTGACAATGAGGTAACTTTTTCGGACATTACTAGCCGCGGGCGATTTTACGTACCTAAACGATAGATTACTGAGGTGGATTGTAATGACTGACGAGAAGCCGCGTTGGTTGTTAACAGTCTTTATTATGTACAGACGCCATGTTGCAAAGAGAGAGAAGAAAATGGCGAGAGAGAACTATTTATAGATAACAACATGTAAGGGACATCACTCAAGATAACAATATAAATATAATACTAATACAGAGAGTGAGTTCCCTTGACCTCACAATTAACTCAATCTATTACATCCCTTTACCCTTAGAACACAATAACACATCTCTCAATAGAACAATTGATAGTATCCTAAAATCACCAATTATATTGTAACATGAACACTATGGTAGATTACATCCTTACAAACAATGCACAATATGCTACAACATAATCAAAATACAAAACAATAATGTCAAAGTCCTTTTGACCTTTAGAATCATAGGTCTAACTTATTTGGGACTTTGATTGTCCTGCTTGACCTTCTCAGTGGCTTCTGATTTGGTGACTCAAGATTCTGACCATCTGGATTCTCTATCTCAGGAGGTCTAGGATTTAAATCATTAACTCCAGAATTTACATTTTCTGACTCCAGACAACTTGGTTCACTCATATCAACAGAACTTGGTTGTGGAACAACTGAGTTGGTGTGAACTGATCAGACTTGGTGGGATTTACAGATTCACACTTATTATCTGCACAAGTTATTTTTAACTGGTCTGCATGTCTACGGACAATAAGTCCATCATTTGTTTTTACTTTATAAGACACAGGTCCTGTACATTGAACAATTTGACCTGGAATCCATTTTTCCTTTCTCCCATAATTTCTTAGATACACATTATCATTAACTGCAAATTCTCTTTCAATGGATGATTTGTCATGATTTACTTTTTGTGTATGTTGATGTTGGGAAACAGACCTTTGAACAGTTGGATGTAGTAGGTCAAGATGAGTTTTAATTTTCCTACCACATAGCAATTCACATGGTGCAACACCTGTTGTTATATGAGGAGTTGTGCGGTATTTGGTTAAGAACCTGTTTACTCTTTCTCTAAGAGAAAACTTGTTACCGGTATTCATTTTTACCATAGCGGTTTTGAATATGCCTACCGCTCTTTCAGCTAAACCATTCCCAGCAGGATGATAGGGGGATGTGGTTATATGCTCAATACCATTTGCCACACAAAACAGTTTAAACTCATGAGCTGTGAAACTAGGCCCATTATCTGAAACAATTTGATCTGGTAATCCATGAGTTGAAAATATTTCCTTAAGTTCTATAATGGTATCATTTGCAGTGATTGTGTTCATGATTTTAACTTCTAACCATTTAGGATGTGAATCAATAACAATTAAGAACATTTTGTTCATGAAAGGTCCTGCGAAATCTATATGTATACGTTTCCATGGTTCAATTGGCCAGTCCCAGTTTTGCAAAGGTGCTGTAGCTGGTTGATTTGAATGTTGTGCACAGCTTGAACAAAGTTTTACATATTTTTCAATATCAGCATCCATATGTGGCCACCAGAACCATGATCTTGCTAGACTCTTCATTTTGGAAGAACCAAGATGAGTATCATGTAAAGTTCTTAAAACTTCTTTTTGTAACATTTTGGGGATAATTACTCTTGACCCCCATAGTATACATCCATCTTCTAGACTTAACTCTGTTTTTCTTATTTTATATGGCTTTAAGTCCTCATTCACTGACTCTTCAGGCCAACCATTCTTACAGTACTCATATACTTTTATTAAGCACTCATCTTTTTGTGTTTCTCTCTTAATATCATTCACATTTATATTGGAGTTATCCATGATAGTGAAGAGAACAAATACATCTTCTGGTACATAGCTCAGGCTTTGGTTTTTTAAAGGTAATCTACTAAGACTATCTGCACTATTCTCAGATCCAGGTTTGTATTTCAATTCATAATTGTATGCAGTTAGTGTGATAGCCCATCTTTGAATTCTTGGTGAGGCATGCTCAGGTAGGGTTTTGTTTTCTCCAAATAAACCTAGCAATGGTTTATGATCTGTAAAGATAGTGAACTTCCTACCAAATAGAAACTTATGAAATTTCTTAACACCAAAAATGATGCCTAAGCCTTCCCTATCTAACTGAGAATAATTTTTCTCAGCCTGGTTCAAAGATCTACTGGCAAAAGCAATGGGTCTGTCACCCTTCTCATCCATGTGGGACAAGACTGCTCCTACACCATCTGGTGAAGCATCACATGTTAATATAAGTCTTTTCCCTGGGTCATAGTGAGTTAGTAAGGTGTCAGCAGACAAAGCCTCTTTTGCTGTATTAAAAGCAGCTTCTTGTTGTTTACCCCAGTGCCAAGTTGCATTTTTCTGTAGCAGCTTGTACAGTGGTGATAGTTTACCAGACAGATTTCCTATGAACTTTGCATAGTAATTTATCAAGCCCAAAAAAGCTCTTAGTTGTTGGGTATTTTCAGGTTTGGGTGCTTCTTTAATGGCTTTTGTTTTCTCAGGTTGAGGTCTGATGCCTTGTTTGCTCAATATATAACCAAGAAAACTAATTTCTGTCAGCATGAATTGACATTTATCTTTGTTTATCTTTAAACCTTTTTCACCAACAATTTTCAATACTTTATCAAGTGTTTTAAGATGTTCAGTGTCATTCTTACCAGTTATGTACACATTGTCAAAGTAAACACAAACATTTGGAATGTCCTTAAAAATACTGTCCATGACCGCTTGGAAAATTCCAGGGCTAGATGATATGCCAAAACATAGTCTTTCATATTGGTAGAGTCCTTTATGTGTGTTTATTGTCGTATAGACTTTTGAATCTGGATGCAGTTCTAGTTGAGTGTAAGCATGACTAAAGTCTAATTCAGTGAATTTGTCTCCTCCTGCCAAATTCAAAGAAATTTCCTCAATGTTAGGTATAGTGTACCTATTTAGCTCTATTTGCTTATTCAGTGTAGTTTTATAATCTCCACAAATTCTTATAGAACCATCCTTCTTTAACACTGGCACAATGGGTGTCGCCCAATCGGAATAGTCTACCTTCTTTATAATGCCATTAGATTCCAATCTACTTAGCTCATTTTCAATTTTATTCCTCATTGCATAAGGTGGAACTCTAGCTTTGCAGTATCTTGGATTTGTATCTTTAATGCTTAACTTCACTGTTCTATCATTTAGTAATCCAGAGTTACCAAAAACACATTTATTTTCAGATATTACTTTATCTATTGAAGTAAGACTAGATTCTTTTACATTCTTCAATGAACAAATACTCTCCCAATTTAACTTAAGATCACTTAACCAGTTCCTACCTAGTAATGGCGGTCCATTTCCTTCAACCACAAGAAGAGGAAGTTTAACACTTTGACCATTATAACTTACATGAACCATACACTCTCCTATTACCGGAACATTGTCACCAGTGTATGTTGTTAGACACTTGTGACACGGCTGTAGAGGCACTGATCCTCCTGTGACAGCGTCAAAATCTTTCTTTGTTATGACTGTTAGAGATGCTCCAGTGTCAAGTTGGAAGCTGATGCTCTTACCGTTGATATTAACTTGTACATTGATGGGAGCATGACTTATTGATTTAACAGAGAACAGGTTGAAATCCGGCTGCAAATCAATTTGAGCATTTTCACAGGTAGAGTGGTTCATTGGTTGGGTTAGGTAGTCTTGGTGAGAGTTAACATAGTGCTGCTTTTGGTTGCGGTACTGTCTTGACTGGCTAGATTTAGCAACAGACGAAGACTTTGCAAAGCAGGCCTTGGCAATGTGACCTTGCTTACCGCACTTATAACAAGTTGCAGACTTGAACTTGCACCGATGAGATGCATGGGGACCCTTGCATCGATGACATTTTTGATAATTATTACTAGATTTAGATCTAGGATTTGAACGAGCAGGGTGTTTAGCATAAGTTGGAATGCTCTGTTGGGGTTGATGTTTATTGACTAACCTGCTGTTTACTGCATGGATCTCTGAAGGTGCTAAAGATCTCGCCGCATCTGATGACTGCTGGAATGACATTGCAAGTTGTATTGCTTTTTCCAATTTTAGATCTGACTCGAGCAGCAACTTTCTTTGAATATCAGGGCTGTTTACACCTGTCACAAACTTTTCACATAGTCTGTCAGACAGCTTATCGCCGAATTCACAAAATCTACTTAAATGACGTAAAGCAGCAACATATTCTGTTATTGACTCGTTTGGTTGACGAGTCCTACTGTCAAATCTAGCTCTACATAGAAACTTTGATGGGGTAGGCGCATGGTGGTCTGTTAGCAATTTGCTCAGCTCGTTAAAGCTCTTGGTATCTGGACTAGCTGGTGCGCATAAGTCCTTTAGTAGCCTAAATTGTTGAGGCCCTATGACTGTTAACAAAACAGCTCTCTTTTTGGCTTCTATCGTCACGTCGTTAGCTTCTAGGTAAAAGCTTAACCTCTCTAGGTAATCTTGAATGATTTCATCATTCGCATCAAATTCTTTTATTTGGCCATACAGCGCCATAATTCTAGAAATAATTAGCTAATAAGCTCTAGCAAACCTCTTTTTTGCGTAAGTAGGTGCTCTTTCTGGTAGATGTTTATCCTTCGTCGCCAAATGACGTGGATTGTAATGACTGACGAGAAGCCGCGTTGGTTGTTAACAGTCTTTATTATGTACAGACGCCATGTTGCAAAGAGAGAGAAGAAAATGGCGAGAGAGAACTATTTATAGATAACAACATGTAAGGGACATCACTCAAGATAACAATATAAATATAATACTAATACAGAGAGTGAGTTCCCTTGACCTCACAATTAACTCAATCTATTACAATTACCTTAGTTAGTATAGTATAGAATCTAGTAATAGCCTATAATATTTAATAATAGTCATAGTAATAAATTAGCCTACTGGTAATCTATCGTTTTAGGTCCTAAAAATCGGCCTAGGCTGGTAATGTGCGATAAAACAGGTACATTAATCATTTAAAATTTAATGAATAATAATGAAACATTGAAACATTTTTGTAACTTCATACAATGTCATACATCCTCCTAAAAATGTGAAAAAGTTATAAAAATTTAATGAGTCACCTTTTTTCACATTATTAGTCTCGGCCTATACCTGGCCCTATGCCTATCTATTAGTATCTATCTATCTAGTATCTACTCTATAGTTTAGGCTTACTCTAATTTAATATAATTTGGCCTTTTATTTAATTATTTTAATTACTAGTTAATAATATTAATTAGGCCTAGGGCCTATAGCTTAATATATGTGCCACCTCCTCTTAAAGACGCTGCCATCTCCTCTTAATGATGCTGCCACCTCCTCTTAAAGATATGTGCCATGATGTCCACATCCTCTGAAGAATGTACTGCCACCTTCTCTGAAAAACTTACTGCCTCCTTCTCTTACATACTAACTGCCACTTATTTAATGCACAATTGAGTAAAGCAGATTTAATATTTAAATAATTTTTTATGTTTTTACAGTATTAGTTCTTTAGTGATGTCGCCCTAATAATTAATGACACCTGAGTTAAATATTCATAACAATGGCTTCCAGTTTGAATATAAGAAGACACTCAGTAAAGAATTTGAAACTAAGTGACCTTACTAAGGCATCTCTTCAAAACAACATAGATGCTGTGACATCTTTACTGAGGAATGGCTGTGAGGTCAACGTGGTAGATGGAGAGTGGACACCACTTTTAGCAGCAGCAGATAAAGGTCATTACCATGTTGTAAAGCTGCTACTCAGCTCAAGGAGTAATGTAAACTGGGTTAATAAAAAGGGTCAGAGTGCTCTTCTCTTTGCATCCAGAAAAGGCTATACTGAAATAGTAAAATTACTTCTTCAGCATAAAGCAAATGTTGATCAAACACAGCATGTTGATGGTTGCACATCTATTATTATAGCAGCATCTAAAGGAAACAAAGATGTTGTAGATTTGCTAAGCAAAGCTGGAGCTAATATAAATCACAAAAATAACGAGGGAGTTACGGCCCTTATGATTGCTTCCAAGCGGGGATATGTTGACACTGTACAGGTTTTACTGGACAATCGAGTTGATGTTAATCTATTTGATGAAAATGGATGGAATGCATTGATGTACGCATCATATCAAGGGCATTTGAACATTGTCTCGCTGTTGTTTAAAAATCAAACAAATATCAACCATGTTAATATACATAAACAAAGTGCACTTTTAATTGCTGCACAGAAAGGTTGCCATGACATCGTCAAATTTTTAATAAATAATAATAGTGATGTTAACCATGTGGATAAGGACGGCATCACAGCCCTGATGCTTGGGTCTTATGCTGGGGATATAGCCTTGACTGAACTTTTACTGCAAAATAATGCGCAAGTCGATCAAACCACAGACCAGGGCTGGTCTGCGTTACTGCTTGCAGCACAGAACGGCCACACAGACATTGTAAAACTTTTACTCAAGTCACGTGCTGATGTCAACTTGTCCAACAAGAAAGGGAACACAGCTCTTGTGCTGGCTGCACAAAATGCACACACTGACACAGTGAAAGTTCTTCTCAGCAATGGCGCTGACCCCAACCACACAAATCTCAACGGATGGTCAGTGCTCATGGTAGCCTCACAGAACAGTCCTGATGTAACAATAAAAACTTTAGAACTTTTACTGAAATATAATGCAAACATCTCGTACTCATGCAGTAATGGCTGGAACGCCATATTGATTGCTGCGTGCCATGGATATCCAGACACAGTAAGGTTTCTACAACAATATGTTAAAGATGACGTTTACAATGCCAGGGTTAGTTCCCTTCTGTTAGCATTGAACCATGGTACTCACACTGTCATGAACTTGTTGAACTCATTTAAGTCTGGTATGAATGAACTGAACACTAACAATGCTGTAGCAGCTGAAATAAACGCCATTGCTACCCAACTACCTGGTAGCCTACCTTCATCTGAACCTGAGAACCCTGCTGCCGTGCTATCCAGTAGTGCAGTAGCATCTAACTGTGATAACTCCAGCCTTAAAAAAATGGCTGTGTTTGAAAGTAATCTTGCTATCAGTGAATCAAGTTACATGGACACATCTGACATGGACATATTTCCTGCTCTGTTGGACCCTTGTCTTGTGGGGGCAGCACAAGGTGCTCCGGTATCAGATTCCATTATGGCTACTTCAGAAGCTAGTGCTGTAGCTACCAAACAGGCTACATTACCTGCTACAAATGCACCTGGTGCTGTTGCTACCAACAAGACCTCATTAACTGCTACCTGTGAACCCGGTGCTGTCGCTACTAACCAAGCTTCATTAATTGATTTGTGTGAACCTGGTACTGTTGCTACCACACAGAGAAAATTCCCATCTTTATTTTCAATTATTGAACTTATAATTAATTGCTTTCTTACATTACTTAAAAATCAACCAGATACAATTGCAAATGAGAAAATAAATCACAATGAGGTGAATGACATAGTCAACAAGTTTATTATAGGTAAAATAAAAACTAATTTGCTAATGGAAAGTATTTTCAGCCAATTGAATGCAGATCCCAGGCACCTAAAACTTAGTGACCAGAAATTAAGTTTTGATCAAACATTGTCATTAGAAACAGATACGCCTTTACAAATCATAGATCAAAACAACGGGAAGCCACCTTCTATGGTGGTTTACAATGTAACTAATAATATGACTTTAAATGTCAATAAGCTTGGCTCTTTTATTTTAAATGAAAATACTGGTAATAGTTCAGTTGTAAATCAGGTACGTCAGTCAGTTGTTTTAAATGTTCAGAATGCCACTAATGTTGTCTCTGATAATAGCTGCATTAATTATAACTGTGGGCCACCTAATGCAAGTGATTCTGATTGAAATGGAACCCTTTTATTTAAAAAAAAACTTTTTTTTACAAGATTTTACTTTGTTCACAACACCTTTTTTTTAATGGGTTTGTGGCAAATCTTGTAACTTAATTTACACCCACTATTAATGCAGCGATTTCATTCAAACTTTCCAGATAAATTCTACTTCAATGACAATACAAGTCTTTCTAATTTTAAACTTAATTAGATGTTTAATTTGTCATTTATAATTGAGTTTCCAACATAAGGGGAGACAACAAAACTAAATCACTTGATTACTTACTTAATCCTCATCACTCCCTGTGGAGTATAGGGCAGCAACAAATCTCCGCCATTCCACTCTGTCTTAAGCAAGCCACTTAAATTCTTGCCAGTAGCCTGTACTTCTTCTTCCATTTCTCCCCTCCATGTTCCCAGTCGTCTTACTCTCTTTCGCTTTCCGGGTGGGTTCCACTTCAGCGCCATGTTGGGGAGTCTTCTTTTGCTCATGCGTAGGACATGGCCCAGCCATCTCCATCTCCTCATTCAAACTTCTGAAACAATGTCGTTTAATCCTGTCCTTCGCCATATTTCCTTGTTCGGGACTTAATCATCCCACTTTATTCTGAGGATGCGTTGGAGGGATCTTCTTTCAAAGCCTCTCTACTTTCTTGCTTAGTTTCCATGATTCTGCAGCATAGAGGAGTACAGAATGTACATTAGACTTGTAGATCCTTATTTTGGTTCTCTGCTGAAGTGAGGATGATTTCCAGATCTTAGCAAGTCTGTTGAAAGCTTGTGCTGCCATTGCTGTTCTGGTGGCTATTTCTTTCTCCATGCTGCCATTTGCTGATAAACCACTTGACAGATTACTATATTCAGTAACTAGCTAGACCGGATCACAATAACAGTATGGTGAGCTGGTTCATGAAAATGTTCACAATCGTAGAGCCAGTCGATCTAGTGAAGGGTAAATAATATAGTTTTTAAAAGATTGAAACTTAGGGAGGTAGATTATTAAGAGCTATCTTTCGCAAGGTGTTGTCTGTAAATTGTGGTTACGGATCACTGCATCCTCGGGCAGATAATTGTCTTTTTGATATCACGAGCTACTGATGGTGGTTTAAAGCAAATATTTTTAGTTTTGTCAACTTCATAAATGAGGAATCACAAAAAAAAAGGAAGAAAAAAAAAAACAAATATAAAAAACATTAATAGCAACAAGCTTTTAAATGCACTGAAAATAAGAAAATAAAGTAAATTTGCTTTCTTTAACAAAAGCTCTGGTCCCTTATATTGATTTTTTCATATTTTAGCCACAAAAGCTTTTTTTTAAAGAAAGCAAATTAGTTTTATTTTTGTATTTTTAGTGCGTTTAAAATTGTGTTGCTATAAAGGTCTTTTAGATTTGTTTTATTTAAAGATGGTGTTGATTTACAATTTTGATACTTGTTAACGAGTCTTTTGCTTCCTTAGTTTTATTCAAAAGTTGTTGAGCAAAGTGATGAATAAGTCTGACTGTGACAAGTTAAATAATAATGTTTACATTTTTTCAACACACTTTTTTATAGTTATACAAATAGTGGTGTATTATTTATTATATTAAAAAAAATCATTGTATTTTTATTTTCTTCATTTTAGTGCATAAATAAAAGATGATCATTACAAACTTATTTTTTTTTTAAATTCTCATCTTTGTTCCATTTAATTTTTAAAATAATTGCCACAAATTAAGATTTGTTTTATGATTCAAGCACAAGTGAGGTGCTGTGCTTGGCAAAATACATTTTATGAACTCCAAAATTTAACCAGCTAAAACAGGGGTTCCCAACCCCGTGCCCGCCGAACGATTCATATGTGCCCGGCTCTCACTATTCGACATGACAGAATTTTTTTCATAAACATTATTGAATGGTTGAAGGGGATGGAAATCGAAAGTTTGAGGGGGAGGGGGGGGGTGCAAATCAAAAATTTGATGGGGGGGGGGTGCAAATTGAAAAGTTTGAGGGGGGGGTGCAAATCGAAAGTTGCCGGGTGACGGGAAGGGTCGCTACGCCTCTGGGCGGAGTTTGTCAATTTAAAATAGGTGGTGCCCGCCACCCTACCGATATTTTAGAATGCGCTCTAGAGTAAAAAAAGGTTGGGAACCCCTGAGCTAAAAGATTTGCATAATAACCAAGTATTCTTGGTGAAAAGATGTGTACTTGAGCTAAATGTTTAGATTACTGTACATTAAATAGTTATTCCCAATGTTGTTGTGGCATGGACATAGTTAATTGCATCTACCTTTTCATCTGAGAACAGAATTTTTATTTTCCTTATCTTGTTAGATATTTTGTGTATGTATTTTCAAAATTATTTTCTAAAAAAAGCATTTCTTTATATTTCTTAACTTTTTAACAGTCTTACACTTAGTGTTTGCTCCTTCTACTAAATAGTGAGCTGCACATTTTTTAAAAGAATTATTATGCTATTCTTTATAAACTGGTGGTCAAATGAGCTAGAATTAATCTATTTCTATAACCTCTGCATGTAAAAGTTTAGTAAAAGGATAATGTGATAAGTTATTTGCCCAACTACCTTTATTTTCCATAACATCAGAGTTGGATGGACTAGGGTCCAGCATCCAAAGTCTTACAGCTGAGCAGTTGTGTGCTCTACCATCTGAACTTGCAGTCAACCAATATGTATTATATTTTGGATAACGCTCCATGTTTGCATTTCACTTTAAATAATTAGGGAGCAATATACCCAATATTCACTTGCCTCATCAAGTCCAAATGTTACTTTACTACTACTACACTTAATATTCAGAGAATTTTAATTACTCAAACTATTTACAAGGAATACATAGGCTAACAGGGTGAAAATGTCCTTTATCATCCTAATTCTGTAGGTCAGATCAGTTAAGCTAATGGTTGCTGAACCAAAAAGTCCCAAGTTCAAACCCTGGGTTAGTGAGGCTTGATAGCGGGGGACAGAAACTCATCTAGGACACAAAGTCAATGGAAGCAAATCCAAAAAGAAAAGCAGGCTGAAACTATTTACTTGTGTTGGAAGGAATCCCTTCAACACTAGAAGTAAGAATGAAGAAGAATAAATCCTAATTCCTATCTGTAATTATCAAAAGAATGGCAGCTTTTAGTGATTAAATGCTTGATCTCATAGCATGTGATTGCTAATTAAAATAAAAAGAATAATTATGATTTTCAAAATGTGTTATATTTACTTTTCAAGAAAACGATTTACTTTTCAAGAAAACGTATGCTATATGAATGACACTTAAAAACCCAGAATTCTTGCTACAAGTTTCATATCTAGGCAGGCTTTACGAGAGGATTGACCCTATACTGGCCTATAGTACCATCATGTGAGACCACTATCAATCTTTCTAGAATTTTGACACTTTTTGCTGCAACCAAGATAATAATTCCATTAACTGTCTTGGTAATATTATTCCTATGTGTAGACAAGGGCACCATGTCAATACAGTTCACTCACAACCACCATTAAAGACTGGATATTTTTCACATCCAAGACAAACCAGACAACACCACCAGATATAGATGCTAACCCAGATTAAACTACCTTCCTCACAAATACAAGACAACTCCCTTCCTAATCTACAACCTAAACAAGACTTGATCACAAAAAAAAAACATTACAGGAACACAGAAGATGACACCATGATGACAAGAAACAAACTCATTCTCCACTATTAGATCAGATCTTCTTCTTCGTTCTTAATTATTAGTGTTGAAGGGGATCGAGATTTGTCTGCCAGTGGGTTTGAACTCGAGACTTTGTTCGAATTTATCAACCATGAGCTTTTTGCCGACTCGACCACGCCTCCAACACAATTAAGCGTTACGTGTCAACTGGTTATGCGCCATTGAGGCCATTGACTCCGATTTCAGCCTGCTTTTCTTTTTGGATTTGCTTCCATAGCCTTTGTCCAACCAAGAACAAACTACAAGGCAGCAGTTGTTTACTTTTGGAGTTGTCTCTCCTAGAAGAGTGGCTGTCCCCAGCTTACGAGCCTCATCTGCCCGAGGGTTCGAACTCGAGACTTTTCGGTTTAGCAACCATGAGCTATACCGACTCGACCACGCCGAACAGTTAGATCAGATGAAACTTGCATATTCCCTCCAGTTTCCACAAAACATCACTTTCCCTAATGCCAGTTACAGTGTGACATTCTTTACTATTTATTTGTAAAAAATACTTCCAGAACACACATACTCTCACACCCAAAGCAACACTACTCTTATTCTATAAGGAACACCTCTATTTTTGTCTTTTATTTTAGAAAATGTAAAAAGTCACGTTTTAAAACAAAAATCTGTATAAAATACCACAGTTATTTCCTATTAAATTCATAATCAGACAAGCTGAAGCAAAAATGAAACATTAAACTTGTATTTTAAAAAAACATGTAATTAAAACTCATGATGTAACTGGCAAATAGGCTATATGAGAACAGATTTTTCTTGCAGACTGTCTCAACAACTCACATTTTTAATACAGTGAGTTGCATTGGATCATGTTTAGGAATGTAAGAAGTATAAATTAGAAATATATATTATATTGGTAATGTCAGCAGTGATATATATAAAGCAAACATAGATAAAATAGGCCATTATAAGCACATATTTAGAAATAAAATAAAATTCGACTTTAAAGTTCTGCAGCAGAATTTACATAACAGTGATGTAAGCTATAGGAACAAGACATGACTATAATGGTACAAAATTGGTAAGAATTCAGATATGGAATGTTGTTATTTATACTGCATCTTTTATGGTTAATCTCAATGGCTAAAAGAAACATTGGCTCTTTAAATGTAAAACAGCAGTAACTAAAATACATTTCAACTTCTTTAATTGCTGATAAAATATTATGCCTTCGATGGAAACTTACAACAAAATAATTTCTATAAAGACTGAGCATTACAGGGGGGTTTTTAATATCACCATGCTCCAATGATAACACACACAAGCATGTAACAGTAAACACACTAAAACAAGCATAAAATTATGAAAAATCCGATACATTATTTAAGTACTACCCCACAGAATTAGAACCATAATGTGCCAATCTAAATTAAAAAATTATGTAAAATTTTATTACAAGAATTCAATAATTGTTTCAATGAAAACAGTGTCTATTAGTTTTATATGCGGTTTGATTACTCCAATCAATTTAAAAAGAAAACTGTAACCTTTGAAAACAGAATATCACTATTGTTAACGGAAACATACAAGTTAATTAGTTTATTGATTAAAAATAAAAGGTATTGTGCAAACTTCATTTCTAATATGCCTAGTTTTTAACATTATTTCAAAATCCACCAATTGAAAAATGTATTTACTCCAATAAAATTAGACCCAAAAAGAAATTATCAATGAGTAACATCCTTTAATAAAGAAACAAAATGAGATTCAATGAATACAATTTTTCTTAACTTAAGGCAAAAACCGAAGTAACACATCTAAATAAATATATTTTGTGTGTATATGAAAATACACAGACATAGAACTGTTTTTTTTTTAATTAAAAAAAACAACATTCATTGTGCAAGTGATTCATTATAGAAAATAACTTTTGTAGTACTAAAATACTAATGTAATCAATTATGTTAACCATAAGAACACAAAAAGGAAAAAGCAAAACTCATCACACAAATAAAATTGGGACCAACCTAAGAATGAAGTGTCTACTAACTGCTTTAGTCAGAGAGAGCATCCCTAGATTAATATCGCATGAGTTCAATTGTAGATATTAGTGAGCTTAAACACCCAACCCCATTTACAGGGTATTTTATTAATAGTAATGGGAGGAATTGTGATCTCCAGCCCAGAAGATGTCTGGGACCACTTGAATGGGTCTGGGTAGCCCAAGAGTGTAACCACAGTTTGATCCGATGTTTTGGGGTCAGCCAGTACAAGTTTGGGACCACTGGGCCACTTGAGGACGATTGCGTACACGCTGGTTCCATTCTCAGCTTTCTTAGAGGTGTACCTGGGTGGATAGAACTGGGAGTTAGTCAACTGTCATCCAGCATCAGTGTGCCTGACAGACAATAATCAACTTTCATCCTACATCACTATCTGACAGACAAAAAATAAATGAGTCATCTGTCATCCAGCATCAGTGTGCCTGACAGACAATAAACTATTATTCTACATCCCTATTGACAGACAGAAAATGAATGAGTCATCTGTCATCAAGCATCAGTGTGCCAGACAGACAACAAATGATTGCTACACATAAAACTATAGCCCCCATGGTGTACAGTTTCTTTATGTTTTTAAACTAAATTTAGCCAAACTTTTATAGAGTTCCACTTCCTAAAATTTCAGGTAATGGCCATTTAATTGTGAAATTTTAAGACATTGCAATAATCAGAATGACTTATTTCAAGGTAAATAATCTCACCAAACATCTCCATTGAGAGAATCATTCTGGTGGCTCCATGGTTTGGTGGCATAGATCCCCTCACCATTGACCTTCAGCCATTCTCCCATTTGTCTGAGCCTCTCCTCAAAGATTGGAGGGATGGTCCCCTCTTTGGTTGGTCCAACATTGATCAACAAATTCCCACCAGTGCTAAAGAGAGAAAATTGTCAAATTTTAGCCTCAATTTTTTACAGTATTGTTTGCAAATGTTTAATTAACTACACAAAATTTAAAAATAATCTTTTAACAAGCCTGAAAGAATTGTTTGACATATTTAGATTATCTGTGATTTAAACCACACAGGATTGTGTTAATTTAGTTAATTAAACTTGGTTGAAGAAGATTAGTTTCAAAATGTTAGCAGTAACAAATTGTAATTCATCCTATATATGAAAGCTGAAATTTGTTCTATTACTTTATTCTTTGCGCTTGTCATATTCTAGAGAGAAGAGAAAAGATCTATAATATGAAAGAGAAGACAAAGATTAAGAAAAACAAAAATGTTTCCTACCTGACAACCTCAGCAATCAAAGTGACAACCTCTTCCATTGTGTGGACATCTGAAAGCTTGAGATTTCTACGGAAGGTCCAGGCAGCTTTGTCCATAGTAGTGGCATCTTCATATTTGTGGGCCTGTTTTACTTCTACAGTAAGAAAGTAAACATTTGTTCATAATTGTGGTGTCTTTAGATTTGTGAGGCTGTTTTACTTCTACAGTTAGAATGTATAAAAAAATGTTTATACTGGTGGATCTTCAAATTTGTGGGTCTGTTTTACTTCTACAGTAAGAAAGTAAACATTTGTTCATAATTGTGGTGTCTTTAGATTTGTGAGGCTGTTTTACTTCTACAGTTAGAATGTATAAAAAAATGTTTATACTGGTGGATCTTCAAATTTGTGGGTCTGTTTTACTTCTACAGTAAGAAAGTAAACATTTGTTCATAATTGTGGTGTCTTTAGATTTGTGAGGCTGTTTTACTTCTACAGTTAGAATGTATAAAAAAATGTTTATACTGGTGGATCTTCAAATTTGTGGGTCTGTTTTACTTGTAGTTGTACACTTAAAATATTTTTAAAATCTTATTGTGTCATTCTTGTCAATCATAAAAATTGTTACAGTTTTAAAGAATATTATGCTACCCCCGTTAAATCATGAACTTTTATGTTTGTTAAATACTTGTATTGTGTTTTTTACTGTATATTCAATAAACTATTACTATTACACACTTAAGAAACATAATTGTCTTATTCAAGTACAGTCACAAGTAGGCCTATATTCAGAAATACTTTTGTATTACTTCTGTGCAGTCAATGTAAAGAAGAAAATTACCCTTTTGAACTTTACATGTGGCAGGTGAAGTAGAGTTCACCTGTTTCTGTGAAGTTGGCATATGAACGGATAGTGGGGGCAGAACTATGCACAGCTGCCATTACTTTCCCTAACGTGAGTAAAGTACTAATTACAGCTGTTTGGATTTAGGGATATTGTATGGACTTGGATCCCAACTCCAGACTATTGGGTTAGAAGTCAAATGCTATGCGACCAAAGTCGTGTATTGAGATTTATTTAGTGTTATTTAAAGTGTTCACAACATAGTCAAGAATTAAAAATACAAAATGGCATACTTGGATTGAAACTATCAGAACAAGTGTAATATCCCCCATGATGGCACATTGTATTAGAGCCCCATCTGTCATTAGTCACAACTCTATCTTTCACTGGACTGAAAAGTCAAAAGCAAACCATTTTTTTCATTGTAATGAAATATTGGATACAATTTTAGCTATTAGGGTTGGTCATTAAGTGAAGAAATCCTGATCTGATATTTTAGTTTTTAATTTACCTGTCGTTGTAAAGCCAAGCAAGGAAGTTTGTGGCATTCCAGTACGTGTCAGGTGCCATCCATTCACCATCTGACCAAACTAGGTCAGGCTTGTATGCGTTCACCAGTTCATATAGTTCTGGCATTGTTTTGGACTGGGAAGATTTGGAAATCAAAGAATTTTTAAATGAACATCAAAGAATAATATACTACTTTGTTTCAATCTTAAATTTTTATCAGTCAACAAAAAACATTAACCCCAGAACAAGGAATTTAATTTAAAACAAAAAACTATATCTTAGTATGTACTTTAAAAATTGAAATATAACAGCAAAAGACTTCACTGGTGGAGGCCTACATCATCTTTTTCCCTTTGTGCCCAAGACACATGGGCATATGCAGTAGAGTTCATCTGTTTCAATTACCTCAGCATTTGAACGGATAGTGTGGTCAGCACTATGATCAGTTGACTGTTTCCCTAACCTGAGTCAGGTACCCATCAGAGCAGGGTGGACGTCCAACAGACTCACATCAGAAATATGAACTCAAAACTTTCAGGTTCTCTCACAAGCTCTATCATTCAATCAGGACTACAGAGGAGTGTGATTAAAGCTAATGCAGTACTTTTGCAACTGAGGTGATAAAAACATTTTATATCACCTAAACATCTATTAAAATCGCACTATGTTTATAAGGCCTGGACTCAAATGGCTTTAAAACTCTAAGAGCACATGATCAAATTTTATTTAACAACTTATGAGTTTTGTTCATCCTACTTTGACAAACTCTTGGGTGGTGAAATTGTTCTCTTGGTCTTTTAAGAAAAGTGGGTGGAAAAACTCAAAGAGAGAGTGATATGTCCCAAACTTGAGCCCCTGTTTTCTAACAGCTACAGCTAGGTCGCCTGTAATTTAAAACATAGCATAATATTAAATCAAATTATAATCTAACCTTCTGAAAACAAATAATTTTCTGTTAAATGATAAAAAAATTCTTTAAAAAATTCTTCCAAATTTGGCAACTCTGGTGAAATAATTTTTTATATCATAACAGCATACCAACAAGATCTCGATTAGGTCCCACATCCATTGCGTTCCAATTCCAAGAATATTTGCTAGGCCACAAACAAAAGCCTTCATGATGTTTAGTAGTTAAAACCACATACCTGTCATAGACATAAAAAAAAGCACATGTTCAGATGGTAACTCAAATTTTGCTATAAATTATAGAGCCTTTATATTCAAGTTAATTTACTTATTAAGGTAAAAAGAGTTAATGCTGCTCTAAGTTGAGTACATTATTGAAGAAAGCTAGAGGTAACCTTTTCTGTTTTAATGAAATTCTAAATTATTGTGACAAACAAGTAACAACACAACATAGCATGTTTTAAAATGTTAATTTACTATTAATAGTACTAGATTTTCATCTGAGCAAACTGAAAAAAAAAACAAATAAAAGACCAAGTTCTAAAATTAGATGCATTTTATGTATAGAAATATTAATCACTGCTATTTAAAACCAAGAAAAAAACAAGTGCTAATGTGAAAAAAATAACATTCATCAGAACATCAAAACTTGTTTGATTTATAATTGCTAAAAAAAATTAATATTTGAAAAAAAGGTTAAAAGTAGAAAAGCCATTTCACTTACTGTGCACCTGAAGCCTGAAATATAGAGGCCCATTGATCGGGATTGTAGAATTCAGCAGTAAACATTGGTGCAAAATCAGCATATGTGAAGCCCGGTGGGTAATTTAGCTGCATAAACTCAACAATGTCAAACCTAGGTTGTGGCCCTTGCCACCAGTACCAGAACCAAGCTCCCACATAGCTTGGCACTGAGAAGACACCCCAGTGCAGGAAGATCCCAATCTTGGCTTCGTCATACCACTGAGGTATAGGGCGAGCATCCAGAGATTCCCAGGTTGGTTCATAGCGTTTCACATTGTGAGAGCTATGACCATCAACACAGCAGAGCAAAGTCACAGCTGACACCAAACATAGAAGCACTGGCCTGTACATAATATCTGGATTTGAAAAAAAAATGGGCATGTTTAAAAGTTCTCTTACATGAGTTATATATTTAATTATTAGGCCTAATAGATCTAATAATATTAGTCATTATGTAATATTTAGACTTAACAGAATAAGACATAAGATATGTCATCTTAATCAAGACCCAGTTATTAAAGTTATAACTGGGTCTTGACTAAAAGATGAATGTTAAGCCTGAATGCTAGTAAAAAGTAAAGTTTCCCTTTCAAACCTGACGGTCTATGGGGCAAGTGAAGTAGAGTTCACTTGTTTCTGTGACCTCGGCATATGAAGAGATAGTGTGGTCAGCACTATGCCCAGCCGCCTTTACTTTCCCTAACGTGAGTTAGGTACCCATCAGAGTTGGGTGGACTCAGGGACGGTCTACTGACTTGAACCCGGATTCGTACTCGAGACTTACGGGTTAGCGGTCCAGCTCTCTACCGCTAGACCACCCCGTCCCATTGAATGCTAGTACAACTATAAATATTAATAGGCCCTAAATAATTTTAAATTAAAATTATTAATCACATTAAATTAAAACGTTTAGAATCTAGAATCTAGTAAAAAATAAAAAATGTAGGGCCTAGGCAGCCCTAGGCCTAATTTTAATTTAATTAATAATTATTAATCTAATTAAATTTAATGAACATTTCAATATAGTTCAATATAGCCTACTAACTAGTACTAGATTCTAATCTTAGACTAATCTAGTGTTTCTAGAATCTAGTAATCTAGATTCTACTATCTAGAATCCTAGATCTGTAATACTTCTTCTTGATTTCTAGATCAACTACTAGATCTAGATCTAGATCTAGATCTAGATCTACTTGATTTAATAAACTAGCAGAGATCTAACACCTAGACTCTATCACTCGATAGATTATAATATAAAACAGTTTATTGTTAATGAATCCGCATTTTACATTATTGTGCGAGCCAGTGAACAGAGCTTTGAAATGAAACTGCAACCGCTGTGTTAAAGAAAGTTGTTGTAGGCAAAGAATATTATTTTAGGTCATGTGATCGATCTACAACTACAACAA